TTAGCTAAAATCATTCCAATTTTTTGGCGTAATATTTTTACAAATCAACGTCAAAGACGATTAAGCGTAATTATTGATACTGACATGTGCGATTTTCAGAACGTACTCTGTCCCAGATGCAAATTCCCATGCTGGTAGAGACCCCGCATAACAAAAGTCATTTACATTCCATTTTAAATAACATTATACGTACTACTACACATCGTGTGTCCGTTAGGTACATTCTCACTTGTTCTTACGCAAATTCACTCGTACAAGTTCGAAACACAGAATATTGAACAGTCAAAAATGTGCACGTCCTCGACTAGTTCAAGAATAATGATGGTACCGTTGTCAGTTTGTAGGGTTATTTTCTCTTTATAAAGATTTGGACTACTTTCGAATTGTGAAATTTACAAATTTGAATTATATTGTACGTTTGAAATAACAAAGAGTAGTTTGATTAATATGGAAACTTTATTTGTTCATTCATTTATTGATTATTATAAAAAATCTTATTTGTTTTAAATTTACAAAAACAACTGAAAACAGTTTTACAAATTAAAATGCAAATTATTTGCTCAAGGAAAGATAGTTATAAAATCTACAGATCTGCACATTGCAAAAGGAAAAAATCAGATTGAATTGGCTGGCCTCTTAAGTTTCAAATAATTACCAAGATTCCAAGTGAAATTTCCGCATTTGCGGTATCATAAAGTCGTTCTGACTAAACCTTACTAAAAATAGCAGTTTTTGTAATAAAACCATGTGGATTTCGTAAAGGAGTTAAGACAAAGAATTAGAAACTTAATCTTTGGACGAACGTTTATTTATAAAACCTTTCGTTCTAAAAGCCCTATTTAACGGTTAGCTTCATTAAAAAAAAAAAAAAACCAATAATAGCAAACTTTGCTTCATATACTTTAAAAGTGTAAGGCCAGGACAGTGCCGAAGACTAGACAGTCTGACATGACTGTCATAGTCACAGTCCTTGGCAATGCTGGGACTGAATATGTCTTCGAGGAAATTGGAGATCACCTGTAAAAAACGTAAATATGTCATTCTGTGGACATATTTTAGATTGCTTTACTCTGATGATGACCTTAAAATAGGTCGAAAGCTCGGCAGTGACAACTGAATTTGCTTTCTTCTTCAAGACCACACCCTGATCCAGTGTTCGTGAGTGAAAAAGTGGACGATATTTCTAATACTACAATTGTAATTACAGCCCATGTTGAAAGCGAAGTAAACTTGACCAAAAAATAGATTAATTGAGGATTACCCTTTTAAAATTTTGAAGCAAGTCTCATCACAATTTTTTATAATTGGTTGCGACAAGAAGTAAATCTCTAATTACTTTCACGCTAATAAATTGCCCTCTTGGTCCTGTACCAAAAGTGACTGGAGAAGATGCAACTTCTGGACTAGTTTCCATGCCATAATAGCAAGCCTTTGATGTTAGTTACGGAGGTTTTTTATAAAGGTTGGTGTCTTGTTGTACAATTGTAAGATTTCCTATCTTAAATGGTTTTGGATATGAATTTATAAAAATATGACTACCATCCCTGATGTTTGAAACGTCGATGGTCCCTTGGTGGTCTGTCCAGATGAGTAAGGAAACTTTATAGGACGATGTCTTAAAGTCTTAAAGGATATTAGATTAAAATAGAGTTGAAAAAAACAAAAAACAATTTTGGATAAATTTTTGTTGTGATATTTTTTAGGCGGGTAAGCAACATCAGAATTCATATCAACCCTCCCCAGGGAGCAGATGTTCTTAAGCAACTCATATGTTATTATGCTATGGTCCCAGGTTCGAATTCAGAGCCGCTGGGATTCGAACCCGGGACCCTTTATGGCTGCTAAGAACTTGCGATTTTCAGTCCTGCGATTATTTAGTTGTGTGAACAGAACAAGCGACATTCAGTGAGATTCAACGCATATGCTACTAGAAAATCGCCTGAAACGATTCAACAGGTTCTATTTTTCAGACGACGCGATTGTCACGAGTAGAAATGTGAATGACAGAAATAGATGACCTTGCGCGCACCTGCTGCAGGACTGGTCACATTTCGAATAGACGAGTTCACCAGTGTCGAATTTCTAAGCCTAAAGGAAATCCTTGACGTTCAATTTGAAATGATTGATCAAAACTACCAGCAATCATTCTACAGTAGACTAAAGATTTCTTAGGGTGTTCCCTCGAAATAAGATGAATTTAGTAAATTTTCCTATTGGTTGTTCTCAGACTAATGAGGTGATGCAACCAATATTTTCTTCCCCATTTGATTTTCTTTTTCAGAAAACTGAAGCACAAAGCGACGACTGTACAACCGTTCTCGATGAGAAATTTTTGTACTATTCTAGTCTACTGCGCGCATCACTGTTTGCCGTAGCGATCGCCATTTTTCAGACTTGGCGTCTGAATTCACAAGTGCGTAGCCTTACTTACATTGATGAGCTCAACGTTGGTAATATTGTTTCTATTGTTTGACTACTAATTCATTGGGTTGTACTATCTAATGTAGACTAATAACAGAAACTGTTGTATCTCAGGAGTGATTGTCGACCAGTTTTGTAATATTTATGTTTTGGTATCAGTGATGAGATCCAAGACAGACAATTACTGCATTATCGCCAAGTTTTCGGCATTTATACGGATTTAGGTATTAGGTCAGTTCTTAAATTTATTGTACATGCAGGTACACTACTAAAAACATTTTATTTTTTACAAGGTACTCTTCTTGTAGGTAGTGTCTGTAAATAAATGCCATAAATTTATATAAAATGAAAATCAATAATTTCCATTCTTGGTTCACATCCCTAATCGCAAAACATCAAGAAATATTTGTTTTAACCCATTTATGTTTTAGTGGTCAATTGACCAAGTTACTTCTTTCAGTTATTCTTTATTTTATTTATTCAGTTTATTCTTTTTATGTAAGGGCTTGGTTGAGATAAAAAAGTCAGTGTCACGAGCGGGATTCGAACACACGACCTTCGGGTAATAACGTCGTATGCGCCCACTCGAGGCACTCTCGACACGACACAGACGACAAACACTTTGAGCCCTGAAGATGATCTCAATAAAGGTTGAAACGTTGGCACGATAAAGAAAATGTTTTTTCTGAAACCTACATCACACCAGACCGCATCTCACGATTTCTAATAAATATCGATTAACGGTCACTAATCACCACACATTCTTTATATTCCAATACCTATTTGCTGCTAGTTGAGCAAATGTAATGAATTGTAACCAAGATTTTTAAAAAGTTAAATTTAAGGAGGTATTTAATATGTTTTGTGATGGTTAATCACCACACATATATACAATAACTTATAATTTAATGATTCTTTTATTCCGAACTGACAGAATTAATGCGTTTTATGGGGTTACTTTACCTCGGCCGATTTTGAAAAGAGACAAGAATAGTAAATTTCGGAAATTGCCGCTTATTCGTCATCGCAAAGCTGATTGCGAGGTTGCGCAGGTAAGTGCTTAGCGCGCTTAATGTGCTTACTTATCAAGGAATGACGGCGGACAGACAGCAAATTCAAATAGGCCTCGAAAAGTTTCAAAACCAATTAATCAACGAAAGCCGAATCTACGGCGCTAACTAATGAACTGCTATGGACTTGTTTAATTAATATTCCTCCTCTAATTTGTCATCATCGCGTAGCACCATCACATCTGGACGAGAGCTGTTATTAAATACTTTTACAACAAAGAAATTACGCAGAATTAATTAATTCCGAGTGGGAGGGTGATTTTGTTTTACCTGGGATCCCTATTGTTTATTAGACCATAAATTTAATCTTTAATATCGTGTTAAAACGCAATTTCTCGTTTAATATTTCGGACCGTCGCTCTAATCTAAATGAGAATGTTTTTATATAATTTCTTCTGGCATTTAATTGCCATGAAAACCTATGTTCTATTAAGACAAAAGGGAAATTCGGGATTAACTTATGACGAACCGTGATGAAATTGTTACCTTGCATGCTGATGTAACGACCGTTGAGTCGGAAGAAAGGAAGCATCACGAGTCCTTTGCTTTACATTGGTAGGCGATGGTAAATGTTTACCTTATATTGAAAAAGGTGTCAAAGTCAAAAGTATCCAGACACCTCATGTGTTGGTAAACCCCACAAATAACAGTTACGTTAAACAGATACTCAGGAGGGAAAACAGGTTGCGACGAAATAATATACACAAAGCCCTGAATACAAAACAATGAAAGCGATCCCACTTTCAACAGCCCGAGAGCACGTTCCAAATGAATTGACATTTCCATTATTTGTCGGTCTATAAACGTGATGGATAACGCCTTGAGACGGAGCCGAAACAAATTTGAGCTTCACAGACAAAGAAAGGAACAGAACAGACATGAAATTTATAAATGAGCATGGTTAATTTCAGTTCGACAGTTTGATTCAAATCATTTTTAAAAATAACCAACCATATGCTAATAAGGCTCCCTCCGTCTGGTTTTTCTATTGGACAATACGAATGTAACATATCGGTGACAGATGGTGCACCGGATAGGCCTGGAGTATGCCGAGTGTTCCTCGCTCTGAGAGGGGCCGTCATTAAAAGTTGAACAAACAAGGTCCCAGGCGGTCGCTTTAAAATAATCAGGAGTATACGGATCATTCAACCGGCTCCGGAACCAAACCAATTTATCCTTTCGCATTCACGAGGCCCTTAGTGCCTCGGCCGACTATAGGGCAGAATTATTACTAACCGCCTCGTCAGGCACCCTTTTAGCCCAAATTGACAAACCCGTCCCACCATGGTAAAGAACTTTCCCGTCCTTCTACAATAATTATGACTGTTGTATAGCTGCTTGGTTTACTTTCTTTTCAGCGATGCTTACTGATTGAAGAGCACCCATGATAGATAAAGCGATTTAAAGCGTAAATCATTTTGATCACTGATTGTGGTACCGAAGATTCTTTAAACCTTTTTTTAATTTATTATCCGACTGTCAAAGGGTTTTCCAGTTTAAAACTTTTACCTGTCAACTGTACAGCATGCTTCTAACCAAACCATCCACGCTGATAGAACTTACCTGAAAAAAAGAAAAACAAATTGTAAGTATAGTACACAATAAGCCAGGGTACAAAAATAGAAGTGTATTTGTGTAGTAGTCAAGGTTTTATCAGTAAAATCAGTTAAAATTCAAAGCCGTAAATCAAGTCCCAATTTAAATGACTCTGAATAACAACGGCCAGTGAAGGCAGAGAACAACGTTTATACACTGTTTAGTTTACAGATTATACAGGGTGTCCCACGTAAGATGTTCTCCCCCCAAACTTCCTAAATTTTAATGCAATTTCGAAAAACATTTTTTTTCTTCTAATTTTTGGTATGAAGACTAGGTTTCAGATGCTTTATTGGTTCCTGAAATAACTTTATGGTTCATTGTTTTGGACATAAAATATGCCCTACGTACTATGTTTAAATGAGACCCCCATTGTTTTATTTCGCATTTCAAAACTAGGTCTCTTTTTAAAAAATTTCGCGTTAGTTCGGGTTTCGTTATCTTAATTATTATAGATTACCGAAATTAGAGTTTTACTACGTATTAACATTTTCAAGTCGGCCAGTTAAATTAAACAACACTCTAGGAAACTAGAGTTGCATATTTAGTGAAAAATTACCATTTTCTAGAAAAAATTAAAGGGTGTGGATGAAAGAAATGGTAGAAAAACAGAATGCCAGTTTAAATTAAACGTTTGAATGGTTTCCTTTTCATAACTTTTAACACATTTTTCGTAACTTTTTTTTAACTTCAATAGACGTTACTGTTTTGTCGATTGTCAACTAAAGTTTCCTTTAGTAGTGGCTATTGTACTGGCCGACGTCTACGTTTTAATACCTAGTAAAACTATCATTTCGGTAACTTCTATACAAATTAAAACATCGAACCCAGCCCAACGCGACAAATTTTTAAAATTGATTTAGTTTTTAAAACCGAAATAAAAAATGGGGCGGTCTCATTTAAAAAAGGTAAGTATTAGTTTATGTCAATAAACAATGAACCAAAAGTTATTTCAGGTACCAATGAAACTTCTAAAAACAAAACTTCAAAGATTTATCAAAATCGGATCAAAACTAAGCATGATAGGGAATGGACATCTTCAGTGGGACACACTGTGTGTTAAATTAATTTCACCGCAACTATGATCAAATATTAAATTCACTAATTTCGTGGTCCGCTTGACCAATTAATATATTACAATTAATTAAGGTTTTTAGTTGAGATAAAAAAAGTCAATGGTACGAGCGGGATTCGAACCCACGACCTTCGGCTAGATACGCCGCTGCTCTACCACTTGACTATCGTGACCTCGATCCACTCGGGCACCAATCGATTCGATTCGGTTCGAATCCCGCTCGTGCCATTAACTTTTTTATCTCCACTAAAAACCTTAATTCATTGTAATATGATCAAATATGTCGTCTATTTCAATTAATTTTTTCTATTTATCTTAGTCGTTGGTCGAGATGAAAAAGTTATTGTCATCTGGGTGATTCATATCCACGACTTTTTCATCTCGACCAACACCTAAGATAAAAAGAAAATTAATTGAAATAATTAATTCGGTCAATTATGACTGCTAAACATATAAGCATTAATATGTTGTTTATTTGAACGTTTTATTGTTGATTTTCTAATATTAATTTTCCTCATCTGCCTTAAGACTATTATATTTGTCTTATTAAACTTGTATTTTGACATTAATTGAGGTAAAATGTATTCAGAAATGAAATTCACAGTTAAGTACATGAAAATGTCAATTTGTAAATGATAGACATGATTGGTTTGAAATGAAGGATCAAATGAAGCAGTCTTCATATTTTCGTAAATGCCGAAATTAAATTTGTTCCAATCGTATAATTTTTTCTGCTTTCTGTTTAAATTGGTAGAGGTATCGACCACCTTTTACTCACGAATAATCTGCATCTTGGTATGGTCTAGATCTAAATGAAAAAACAAACTTTCACTGCTGAGCTTTAGAACTATTTTAAGGACATCATCAGGGCAAAACAATTTTAAAGATGTCTAAAAATTGACACTAAGTGTTTAATGAATGGTTTCAAATGTCTTTGTAGATGTACATTATTGGAGACAATTTTTTACTCATAGAAATATATAACAGATTGAAATACCTGATTAATTTAAGCAAGTATACTTGATAAGGAGTATACTTGATCTGAGGGAATAAATAAAAAAAAAGAAAACGCGTAAATTTTGAAAAAGCATCTTGACGTACGCTCCCAGGCTGATATTTGTCCTGAAAGCCGTCAAATCTTGTGCTTCTTGAGGATCCGGGGCGCTTTTAGAATATTGAATTCTCACCTTCCCAACCCTGCATACATTTCCCCCTCGCCTGATATATATCATAACTTTGGCATTTAAGCCGGGAAAGAAAAGAAACGGCTTCGCGAAAGAAACTTTTTCGGCCGAAAGAAATGTCCAGAGGGCATTGAAGAGCGCCCCCGTGCACTGCGGAGAATTAGAGTACAGGGAAACTACATTACACCCCAAGGAAGGGGAAGAATGGCTCAAAAGGGGTTGCCTGTCCCCGATCTAGACCAGACTATGGGATTTACGACATCGGAAAGCACTTCTTCACCCCACGCAGACCAAGACAGACGGCTCCCTTTACAATTAAACCCTCAGTCTAATTGACCAATTTGAATTTTAAGGCCTTGCCACGACACCGCGCATACCATAACACTCAAATATTCATACCTTCACAGATTTAAGCCTAACTGGTCTAGAGCCCGTTTAAACATGGTCAAAAATTAACGATTAACAAAAGGGAAATAAATTCGACCAGAAAATCTCGGCAAAAATAAAGCCAACTAGAATGGTAGTGTGTGTGTGTGTGTGTGTGTGTGTGTGTGTGTGTGTGTGTGTGTGTGTGTGTGTGTGTGTGTGTGTGTGTGTGTGTGCGCGTGTGAATTCGAGGTTAGTTGATATTTGGTCGTTTCTGGTTATTACTTGGTTATTTTTTCTGTCAGATGCATGCTGGTTTAAAGCATAATAAAATTACGTAAAATCTTCACATTATGGTACTGCAATAAATACGTCATAAATCCCGACCAAAATAAAACTTCCTCACCCCGCGATCTCAGGAGAAAATCTTTTTAAAATCATTTTAACGCGACAAAAGCAGGTAAAGCTAATTAATGTTCTGATATATGAAACAATGCTTATGTTTCTTTCATACACATATAAATGATTATTATGCAATTGCAAAGTCGTTCTGCTATGTTAGCTTGTTGTTATTTTTGCTGTTTTAGTTGTATAAACTTATGTTACCTACCCTTGCTGTTTTAATGTCTGTGAGAACTACAAGATCGCAGACCCTTGTAAAAAGAAGAAGTCTCACCATTTAATTATAAAAAAGTTCAGAAAACAAAATACATTTCAATTAATTAGTAATTAGATTCTTGAAATACGTCGGAGTTTAAATATTGCGTACTGTCTTAAAAACAAAATAACAAGATCCTTTCCATTTTGATAATAAATCAAAACTGATCTAGTATGATATTAAAAGTAGGCAAAATACCAAAAGGATGAAGGATACTAAACAAACAAACGATGAGTATCACATATAAAATAATATTATTAATTATAAAAACGAGATAATAAAGAACTTTTCGTGTTATATATAAAAAACAAGAAGTACATAATAAAATTAAAAACTTTTATTCAATGGTTGAATATTTTTTTGCATATCACTCCTATCACGGGATCCGAATGATTACACTATTTATTTCGACCAGAAACGTTGTGGTATTTTAAACACTTCGGCGTTTCATTAGGGGCTTGGGCTGTTTATTTATCTATCTGATGCTGACTGTTCGACTGTCCTCGTATTGTACAAGACGCGAATGAACATAAAGAAAATTACGATTAATTAAGGTTTTCAGTTGAGATAAAAAGTCAATGGCACGAGCGGGATTCGAACCCACGATCTTCGGGTGGATCACGAAACCAGTGAATTGATAAAGAAAATTTTTAAATATGATAAAACAACGTTATTTAAGACCTTTAGCTCCTATAGTTCGTTGAGTTTGTATATTTTGATTACAGTTAGGACAGTTTAAATACCTAATATTCAAAGTAGTAACTATCTATAACTGATATTTAGAGAATACTTAATAATGCCGATCTATAACAAACTCCAGAGCCACAAAATGTCTAAAATGATGTAAATGAAGCTGCTCTGATGATTATTGCACTTATTTTTCTGGTTCTCATTTTTTGAGCACAAAATCTGCCTGCACTAACTAAACAGAAATATCAAGATTTCTGTTGTTGTAAAAACGCGTTGTCTTACTTATAATATTGAGAAATATACAACAAAAAATAACAGTTTATCGTTTTTTTTATAATAGCAGATAGTTGAGAAAAGATTGTTTATTTAGAGGGACTAATTTCAGACATATGATACGCTTAGATGTCTTACCATTGACCTACCCTGACGTAGATCGATAATTAGTGATGTCCATATACATCGGTGACGTTGCCTGCCAGTTAAGTTGATCGTGTGCTGCTAGGCAGATGTTAAGTTTCGAATATTTTCATATTATTTTCGAATAATTTCAAAATTTTTGTAGATTGAGATGAGTTTCGATGGACTGAGCGTAGTTCGTCAGAATAGTTATCCCAAAGTCGTGATCTCGAGTCCCGCCCGTTAGACTAATTTGCTTATTATTTTCATAATAAAAAAACAAACAGCGTAAAAATTATTTGCGCGTTTTCTTGATCGATTAATGTAAAATGTAAATAAAATCTAAGCTTAAAGTCGAACTTCCCGTTGGGTGTCTCGGATGAGGGGTCAAACCATTTTACAATACTTTTTCATATAATGATCAATTAAAAAAGTTGTGAACTAAGCCGGGATTTGAACGCAGAACCCCTACGTGACAATAAGAGTCAGACGTTAAACCACTCGGCCATCGAAGAGGTAATAAAAAGAAATACATAAAAAATGCTTTGGTAATAGTAAACTACATTAATTAATCTTTTTATGTAAGGTTTTGGTTGAA